ATGCGAAAGAAATAAAAACAAATAGTCAGCTTAGGTCAATTTAAAGTGGCGGCCTTGTGCATCAAAGCGCACTTACGCTCGAATAATGATGTTTCGTGATATTATGAATAGGAGTTGAAGAATGAATAGGAGCGAACAAACAATGCTGAAAGACATTCAGTCATTCATGGCTTGATAGCGCTCTCTATTCACCATACTGGCAGCTACTTCCTCATTTCGAAACAAATAAGGACTGATGATGCCACCAGCGTGTAAACAGTCAATTGTAATGGGTGTAATGGTGTTTTGTCAACCATCGGCCATCTAGGGCGATTATGTTGATCTTAAAATGGATGAAGTGCCAAACCTTACTAAACAGTAATGTCAACACAGTTTGATATTCTCAGCTGTCACAGCATAGTTATCGATTTCGATAGTTCTCATACAGCCTAAAAAATTACCCTATATATGTATATTATTATTATTATTAAATAATAGGCTAAGAATGCATACCGACTTAAAAGATTTATTGTTTGCCTAAAGGCCCAACTGAAACAATTCTAGGCTATTTATAAATCTCATAACTGCTGTGGGCTTAATTTTACCTATTTGATTTGGGACTAAGATCCCGCTTCTGATGTTTCCTTCTCTTCATGACAGAGTTGACAGGAATTAGTTTCCACCGCACCTATAATCTTCATGTGGTAATTAATTCTACAGTTTCCTGTAAGAAGTTCAGTGTATATTTCAATATTGTTTTTGCTATGGTTAAGTATAGCGTCAACTTTCATGTGTTCAGGATCAGTGAATCTTTTTGACTGTCGTATGCTCTCCAGTGTTCAAGCTATTTGTTACCCCGCAGAAGGACTCTGGACCAATGAAAGGAGTACATGCACCCTTCTTTGCTAAGGAGTCTGTTATTTCATTGCCCTCATGCTCTTCATGCCTCGGTACCCACATAAGAGTTACATAGTTCCTCGATGGTAGGATATTAAAAATTTGAAAGCATTCCCAGATCAACTTTGATTGGATTGAAGAGTTTCCTAAAGATTTTAGAGCTGCTTGAGTGTCCGAAAGAAGGCATATTTGGGTACTACGGGTGCCTCTGCATTGGGACTCTCTCGCATTTAGTTCTAAGGCATGGAAAATGAAAGCGGTTTTTCCCATTGCGATTGCTTTGAGGAATTTCGGTCCTATAATTCATGCCCTTGCTCTGCCATTTTCCATTTTGAATCCATCAGTATATCATAATGGCGAGCCCTGCTTTAAGATAATCTCATTATTTCTCCAACTGATGACCACTTCGAATTCACTGGAGAAAGCTATATATGTATATAGCATTAATCTTCATAATTTGATTCATAATTTTTATTTTAAATTTAATTCAAAAAATTAAATTAAATTAAATTTAAATCAAGTTTTTTGACTATTTTAAATCAAATCCTTTTATTAAATTAATTTAGCAAGCTCGATGCAGATAATTTTGCCAATTTCCCAATTAAGGAATACCTATATGATATACATATATTCAGATTCTCAACACACTGACCTCAAATCGAATAATTAAGCAACTAAAAACTGAATGTCCTTTCGAAATGGTCAAACAATTGATCAGAGATTAATTGCATCTACAGCACAAACGAGAGTTAAACGCTTGCTTGCAAGTTGTAATCCAGTCACAAGGACACATGCAGATGACTTGGACCATGAACGTAATATCGTCTGCATAAGTGGAAGTTGGGACACAAAATGCGTGTAAGTTTGTTTGTGGCACCACACCATGTGGTGTGCATTCATTGTTTGAAGTGCATTGGAGGAAAAGTAGGTTTGTCTGAGCACTAATTTATGTAAAAGCATGCACACTACAAATCCTTTTTTGTGGTACAACATTGTTTTAATATTTTATTAAATTATGAGGAACAACATCGCACATGCTTGTCCTTTTTGTTCTACAAAGCAGACTTAAATTAAACTTAAGTTTTAATAATCATGACAATTGATATTGCAGGAAAATAAATCATTAAAATTCAGGGCAACTGAAAGATGAGGCAACAAATTTTTTGTATCCATTTTACATGTTATTACATATTTAGGACCCTGTCGGTGGTCGTAAAACAGCAACATAATCATGTCAGTGATATAACTTAATACATGAAAAAGGGCTAATATTTATGTTATAAGCAATATGTGTTTATTTTGAAACAATTAAGTTCCCTAAACTTACGGATTATGTGAGTCAAAAGTGACTTTGAAAAGATGTAATTCTTGTCTTTTTTAGTAGCGAGATAGAAGTACCTTAGATTATTTATTTTCGTGAAATTAGTATTAGTATTAAATTAGTATTATTGGTTAAAAAAATAATAATATTCATTTATAATACGGTTTTATATCTGAAAAAAAATTTTGAACTGAGTAAAGAGAAAAAATTTCAGTATTTCACAAAGAAGTACTTGATTTGTTGAGACTACATAATGTTACCAATTCTTAAGACATCAATAGTAGGCAAGCAGGCGGGGTAAAGAGTTACCGATACTATATTAGAGTTCTTAATATAGGTAAAAATCTTTATATTCAGCTTTAACGAGTTTAAGTCAATTTATTGAGAATAGAAATAGAATATCTTATAGAGTTTCTTTAACAACTGTTTTCTTACACTTTCCATATTCCTTACTGCTGGTAATATTTAACTTATAAATATGTGCTGTTATCATATAGAATGCAACGATATATTTTGTCGGAATTGCAGCGAATTTAATCTAACATTTTACATCTCCATACTTTCGATTTTCACTCCGAAAACTTTCCTCAGAGTATATATTCGTATTACCAGGAGCACGTATGCATAATCTTGAGTCACATATATACTTTAACTAAATTTATATATTCCTTATAATAAAATATTTAAACTTTACTTTCCACAACGTATATAATCAATATTATACTCCACTATTTGAAATTAGGTGTTTTAACAGTAGATGTACCTGCGTTCTGCATTCTTTAGTAATATATTATATTAAAATATTTTCGCTTAATAATCCATTCCGATGCTCTTTTATACCTTCAATTTTCAAATACAATGTTCTACATAAAGCCATATAAAGACATATATAATACATATATAATCCTATTAGATAAGTATAGAAAATTTCTGCCATTTTGAGACTGACTGAGGAAGCAGAATGTCGGCTCTGCTTAGAAACAGATCAGACCCCTTGCTACATTCTTAGTCACTCTTCGACTTTGATCTGGAATGTTAGGCATATTCTTGACTGCATGTTTCCGTGACCTATCAGACTACTCAATTCTTTTAATTCTGGTCATCGTTTCAAGCATTGAGTGTCTACCGTTCAGTTTCTAGTGCGTTGATACAACTATATACTGAGGGACAGTATCCAATTATAATACCAATTACCATTAATATTTTATTTAAATGATAGAACGCATTTAGCATATTTTAAAACCATCTGAAACCTTTGGTGAAGCTTAAAATGTTTTTTAATGGGAGGTCTTGAAGTTAATCAAGATCCTCAAAAAAGGGGGCTCCTAAAGTATTGGGTTGCCGCCGTGCATTAGCTGTGGAAACACATGGCTCACTGCAAAGTTGATAACAATTTTTAGACTCATATGGTCAGAAACCCCTTATATATACACAGAACAAGTATGTGGGCATTCTTTATATGGAATACTTCTTTATTTAGGCGACAGTGAAATCCACAGTGTTTGTTTAAGAACCTTCACAGAATATGCTGTTTCTGAAGTTCGACAATTGGTGAAGTTTCTATATTTATATATATATTTTCAATATATATTTTCTTCGTTTTTTAAAAACTGACAATCCGATAAATACACCATCTTACTGGTATTTGTCTCTATTTAAAGTATTACTATTGGTTAAAGTGAACTTCATCAATTAATAAAATTTTGCGGTAAGAAATAAGTTAAATTCTTATCATTATGGGGCCCATTCCTTTTAGCCAGAAGTGAAACTATTATCATGGTGGTTCCATTCTAGCATCAATTAAAGTTGGTTGTGATATAAGCCAAGACTCTTTGGTAAAATTGTTTACACCACTAATAGACAATGATCATGTTCTTGTGAACAAAATCAAAGCCATAAATACTCGGTACTGATCCCAAGGATGACTTCAATGCGCAGTTGGATTCAGTTGATCTATAATTTGGTCGTAACGTTAATGTAGCTATGTACTGAGCAAACGTCTTTTAAGCGTCGAATTTTACCTTATAATTTGCTAAGCAATTATCCGTGATACAATTTTTTGAGTGTTGCCACCTTAAAAAATATGTACATATTTTTATATAATTTATAAGAAATAAATTTCAAAATTGTTTTTTGTGTGAAATTAATTTTATGTTTATTAATTTTCAAAAATGTTCTACTGTTTTCATGTTGGTATATTTATACTTAAAGGCAGACACAGTACCAAGAAAAAAGTCTTATATATAAAAAGTGTTTACATGAGACTTAAAAATTATTTAATTAAAATAGAATAAAAATTTAAAATACGCTTAGCATATATAAAATCGTGCATTTGTTATGGAAAATATTTTTTTACTTCTGATATATGTGATGTTAAATGTTTATGTTTATATGAAACTTGTGAATATAAGTAAAAATTAATACTATAAAAGGAGAGGAGATCATTGAACTCCTAAACCTAATCCGCATCCTCAAAGACCAAATCATCTTCTTCATGCCAGCGAACATTACGTGAACTGTAAAAGTTGTAGGTATTGGATTTTTCAAAGAAAAGAAAATCAAGTATTACTACAAAATATTAACATTTTCAATAGCGTGGATAGAACCTGGTCATCGTGTCAGGAAGTGGTGGTGGTGGTGGTGCGGTTCTTGGTGGCGTACGTCGAGCGCTAGAATTAATTATTTAATCAATCAATATTTTAATAGATCAAAAAAATACTGAAAAGACTAAAATTAAACTTACGCAGCAATAGCAGCTGGATTAGTTGCGGTGGCAGCACCATAAATCTCACTGTCATCTAGATCGTAGTCTTCAGTACCGGTACGTTGTCTATATGAAGAGTACAATTAAATAAAAATATATAGAAATTTTTTGAAAATGGGCTATAAACCAAATTACTAAATAACTTTTGTTGTTTCGTTAATTATAATGAATCCACTTCAAACTACTGAAACTCTTTTAAAGGACTGTAAAATAAATTCCCTGTCCGAGTTACTTACAATCTTCTATTACGACCGGTTGACGAAGTCATGATATTTTCAATAGCTCTAGATGTAAGTGAGACTCTACTTCTCAAACGCGATGGAGTTCTTGGTTGTGGAACGGCAGGTTGTGCATCTGGATTGACTGATAAAACTGGTGTAGCTGGACGTCTTCTATCTTGTTCAAAGCTCTCATCTTCAGTACGACGTCGCCTTTTTATAATTTATAGAATTAATTAATAATATATTTAAAATTTAATTTTTTATTTTTAAATAACTTGTTAAGTTTTTCTAACGACTTGTCATTTATATGCTTTTCAAGATCTGAATATTATACTTTTGCAACATAATTTAGTTAAGGACTTGTAGACGATTAAACACTAGGCCCTTAACAGATTGAGCACTAAGTATACGTGTTATATGACTTACGTTCTAGGCATGCTGCGATCTTGTTGTTGCTCTCTTCTACTATCTCGTCGTTGCTCTCGACCAGTACAAGTTGTAAACCAACTATCATCATCCATATCCAACTCTTCAGTACCTTGCTTACGTCTTAATTATTAATAATTAATTCATAAACAAATTAATTAATAAATTATTATTTTTATTTGAACATTTTCTTACAATTGTGGTTTCTGTTTTGTTTTCTGTGTCTGCGGTCTGTAACTGCTATAACCTCTGGGTTGACTTTGTTCACGTTCCATAGAAGTTCCTCTACTAGCACTAGACGAACCCCAGTTATCTTCAATATCGGTGCCTGAATGACGTCTTTTGAAAAATTAAAATAACAATATACTTAACTAATAAATATAACTTAGTTTGCATAGCATTATTGGGTGATAGTGTAGGTTATACACGGTGGTAGTGCAGGTATTTGTGCTAGGTTTAAACTCATATTATACTCAATCTAATAACTTATTTATAGTACATATAGTTTGAAGTGGATTATAAATATATGGTAAAGGTTTTGAAATTTTTTAAACTTACAACTGTGTTCTACTGCGTGCTGGTGTAGCAGTTGCACTGGGTGTTTCTCGAGGTCTACTTATCTCTCGTTCACGGCTACGAGTATCGCGTAATTGACGTTGTGGTTCAACTTCATCTGCTATATCCAATGTTTCTTCTGTGGCAGAACGACGCCTTAAAAGTGTTAATAAAGTTTTTTTTATTTATTGTAATATTATTTATTATTATTAATACTCTATTACATTATATATCTCTTATATATATTATATTGTATATTGTTATATATATATTATATTATTATATTATAAATTATTATATTCTTACAGTTGTGGCCTAGGTCTGGAAGCACTACTTGTACTTCGATCTCTTGCTGCACTAGTCGCCCTTTCAGTGCGATCCGTACGTCGTCGTCTACCACCACTGCTATCACTTGCTCGCTCAGCTGCACGTGCTTGCACCTTTTTCAGTCCATCCATTTCTCGTTGTATGGAGATCATATTTAATCCTACTGGTGTACCAATTGACCATAATAGAATTGTTATGAACGTAAAGAACCATAAACCGTTTATGTAATCTACAATATTTCTACATAGAAATATACGATTTGCATCAAATATATCAAAGAATGGACGGCATTTTGCTGTTGTTTCACCCAACTGACTTGACATGGTCGACTTACTATTTGTGAGATACGTCTTGAGTCTGTTAAAACAAGAATGTATTAAATTAAACTTGTTTCTAATCACTCCGATAGGTAATTTAGGTAAGTCTTATTAAGTCTTATTATTAAGTCTTATTCGGTCTGATTGTTCGAATACAATAAAAATTACATTTTGTTTTATCATTTTAACCCGCCATTTTTATTGTTTATTTTTATTATTATAATTTTTATTGGTATCCCAGCATTAAGACCTGGCTAGGCTAAATAAGAGTTATCTAAAAAATTATTAAATACATAATTAATAGACTCAAATATTAATCAAATTATCAAAGATTCTAGTTTTTTTTGTTTATTAACTATATTTTTAGCTAGTCCTTGTTTATTATAAATTTCTGTATAATATTTTAGATCTTGAAGATATTTTTCGTGACACACGAGGTGTAGATTTTGCTGCAAAGCTTACTCTACTGTAGTTATCTCTGGTCACTCTGGTCCATAGGAACGCACACAGAGAAACATTGGATTTTTTTAATAGTTATGGTAGAAGTTGTGGAAACTTGCAGAAAATATAAACTATTAAACATTTTCTCTATGAATGCCCGGCTATGGCGTCCGGAAGAAATACGCTTTTAGGGAAGTACATTTTTGACAGCTTGGCAGACTGTTTATCGGTAAGAATGAAAGACTTGTTAAATTATCTAAATTTGACGGATAAATTTAAACTGTTTTTTTTCTATGTCAAGTTCTATTGCGTGGAATTTGGTAGCAAAACGGTCGCTTATCACTAATTGTGACCAATGGAAAGCTAGGTGTTGATATGATACCTACAACGAAACAACCACGTTTAGATATAACGTGTGATAATCTTAAACCGTAAGGTTTATTGTGAGATAAGTTTTAGCAAAATTGTGAAAAATTGCTGATTGAGAAACATGGAAAGCTAGCTGCTGATCTGCTACCTGCAATCAACCAACTAACCATGTTTGGATATAACTTTATGATATAAATTTATGAGTCCATGACTTCACTAATTGATATAAGTATTGCACATAACTGAAGTATTTTCTAATAAAATGAAAACCCTCTTAGTGTTTTCGAAATATACATTTACCTATTTGAGAGACCTGAACAACTGTTGCATTTTATCTTGTAATTCACCAAACAATTTCTTGATGAACCAGAAAACATTGATAACACACTCAAAAATTGTAAAATCATTTTAATGACCAGAAACAACAGAAAAGGAGCTGTAACAATCAATTATCTGATAAGCAACACATCAAATACTAAATGCAATACTCGTGTCTGAATATTAAAACACTAGGTTATTTGCTATTTAATCATGTAAGCGTCTAATAACTTACTACCACTTACAATCAAGAATTGAGGTTACTCACTGTCCACCACAATATATACAAGTTATGTATAACACAGATTGTACTACTCCCCTCTCTGGAAGTTGTCTCAACAACATGGCTTCGTTATTGCATTGAACATAGCCACATATAACAATTCCCATCATTAGTATTACAAGCAGCCAGCATAACCAATAACAGGCGATTCATTGGTTGCTGCAATTACAATTCTGCCAGGCATAGCATTGCATTGTACTCCACACAAACACACATAATTCGCTTATTGTAGTACTTACCCGAAACTCCGACACTCAGACACTCAGACACTCAGACATACTGCTGCGTACTGCAGCTCTACTAACCTCTCTGTATAGATGCGTGTTTGATTTTGGCATATTTCGGTAGCTGTCTTTTCCAAGTATCCTTGTATGTTGCGCAAATGGTTTAATGTCTGATTGACCTGCTTGGCCCATGGGTCTCTCTGCAATTCCAATGCTGTCAGATGATAAAGAATTTCGTTCTGCAATTGCTCCAATGGCTGCAAAATAGAAGCTTGCAAACGTTTCGATCGACTACCAAGTGTTGTCATACGTGAGGAAGTGGCAACATCCTGTATCTATTAGTTGGCATGCATGCGCCATGAAAGGTGGCAATGGTGATGGCGATTTCGATGGTTCAGTTTAGTTGGTGGCAATTGAAAGAAAATAAATTCTTTTCATTTTCATTTTCATTTCAGAGTCATGCTTTTGTTTTATGTATGAAAACGTATAAGTTATGCATTTATGTGTGCATTTATGTATCTGGGGTAGATGTATCTATGTATGTATAGTACTGTGTTTGGAAGCTGCGGAGTGGCTTAATTTGGGAATGTTGAGTGAGTTGAGTGAGTAGAGTTCGTGTGGTGGTTTCAGAGGAACAGCAATATGCATGGAATGCTTTATTATTTTTAATTGCATGGCTCTTGGATATAGACTTCATTTATGACCATTTATTTTTACAAAAAGGAGAAGATTGTATTTGATAGGATAATAGCTATTTTCTCATGAGATTTAATAATTTAGATACATTTCCATTTAGAAATGTTTAATTTACAATTAGAATTTATTTTGAAAATAGGTGATGATGGGAATTAGTTTACATTTTATTTAAAATATTAAACAAACATTTAATGGGTGTGTAGGTTTGTATATTATTTGTAGATTTTAAATTATTTTGTAACAATAATTTAGATTATTTTATTTAGTTCCTCACAATAATATATATAATAGCTTTATAATTTGTCTAATTTTTATAAAAAAAAAATTGTGAATCATAAAAATTCATCACCATTTAAGATTACTATAACTACTTTTTTGAATCTAAAATGGATAGATTCAATATTTAATTATTTTCCGACCTCAAAAATATATCTGAATGGCTTAATATTTTTGCTTTATATTGTTTGATGGCATCATGTTATGATATAGTTTGAAATATTTTGCCACTTCTCCCAACGCAAACATTACTCTGGTAGGATCTCATTTCAGATTTTATATCAATTTTAACATATATATTTTATTAGACGACATTAGGTTAATTTCACAGGCTTTAAGTTACATCTAGACTTATTGGTTCTTAGCGAACCTATGTAGATGAAGCTAGAGCTTCGTATAGATTATATAGATTTGTAGAAGACAACATGTAGGACATCATGGTTCTATTGAATCTAAGAAGTGACATAAATAATCACATTATATATGATCATTATATATACATTATATATATTTAATGATCTTAATTTAAGATATAGTTATTTTTATATTTTAACTTTTCTTTAAATGCTTGTTCCAGGCATAGGATTTTTGGTTAGTTTGGTCAATTACATGTTGGTGATAAGGACCGTCACAAACATTATCAAAAAAGTTAAAAAAGTTGTCTCCTGGAAGAGGATACTGCAATATCAAAAAAACCCAATATATTACGTTTGGACCGATGATTTGAGTGAATGGGTTGTGAGTATTATGCATACACGTATCACATACTCTGAAGAAGATTAAAAAGGCTGAGGTGTTCCGTATTGTAAAGTTATGTTAAAAATAACATCACATAAATTGTGATGTTTCCAATATGACTCAAAAATAAAATGCCAGAATGTAGTACGGAAATTACCAGTGGAATCGAAAAAAGAAAACAAAGTACGCTTTCTTCAGAAGAGTGTAATCAATTTGACTGTCATCATTTTGATTATTATCTTCGATTCAAAGAGAATTGAGCACTCTTAATTCGTATTAGCATAACAAATGGTAAACGTAAAATATTACTTGAGAATTATATAATGATAATGGGTTACAATTCGAAGAGTTCGGCAAGAATATCAAACATGGGTCGGTGGTGTTCGTCCATAAAGCGGTTTCCTTCGGCCTATATACCTGTAATTAAGCTAAGGCTGAGTAATGTGTTACTCTGCGCAAGATCTTATTTTGACAAGATGTTTGCATACACTTTCACTCTATCATTAACACGTTTAAATTTTTTCTTCGGAAAAAAATTCGGAATATCTGAAGTCTAGCTAGTGTAGATGCCGATTTAAACATTATGTATTTAGTTAATCTTCTCTATTTGTAGTTTTAAATGAGTTTATAGTTGGTTCCTGTGGAAAATTAGCAATATTATTTAAAAACAAACTCATTTGATAAATGTTGATAGGTTCTTCTAGCCTTGATTACTTTTAGCTTAAACTGTCTACTAGGATCTACTAGGAATGCTAACAAACTATTACGTTGAACCAATATATATGAAGTGCTTTAATTACTTAATAACATAACTTACTTGCAATGCCACTCTCTGCATTTGATCGATGAACGTAGCCAAATCTTTTTCAGGCGTTGGTGCTCCAATACTGGCCCGATATGAGGTCAAATTGAACGAAGATGTCTGCAACATATTCTCCAATATGTTTTGTATTGTCTGCGTCAACGACAAAAGCGTACGTTCGGACACATCAATTGCATCGATGGCTGTTGTCACTTTTGGAAATTGTTTCAAATCGGAAATTTGCGTTGTATTAACGAATGCATCCAATTGGAAGACATTGTACGATGCTTCATTTTGCTCACAGCCTCTATTTAGAGCCCAATGACGTGAGCATTCACATATTGTGCATGTATGCAAATATATGCAAGTTCACGGTGCGTATGAGTGTTCAGATTGCAGTTCGGTTCAGTTCGAGTTTTAAATGGATGTGCATTTAAAGTTTTCAATTTTGGTTGATATTGTTTTTGTTGTATATCGTATATCGTATGTGGTATGTCGTATGTTTTATGTTGTATGTGACGTAGTCGTTGTCGTTGTTATTTTGTTGGTTGTGTTGCAATTTGTTGGAATTGTGACAAAGATTTTAGTAGAAAATCACTTAAAGTGGTTAGAATAGGTTTTGTGGTTTCTAACATCAATATTAAATTTGGCTTGAACGAATGTGCTCCTAGTGTGCGGTTATATGGGACATTTAATTTACTTATGCTTGCGTTTAAGGATTTGGAAGCGTGCCTACATTGTAAGTGTTTGTCTTGTCGGCACATGTCGGTAAGTAGAACTTTGGATTTAGTGGAAGTGTACTTTAGTGTGGTTATTTTGTGGTTGAAGTTGTAAAATACTTTAAAATAATTGCAGATACTTAGCACTAAATTTAAGAAGGGAATCAAACTGTTTAAAGGGCTGTAAGTAATATTTTAGGAGTATATAATTAAATTTCCTGCACAAAACGTAATTAAATTCAGTTTACAACGTTTTGCAAGTCATTTGAGTACTTGTAAATAGCTTCGAAGGTGATTGGTATATTAATCAGTTAAGTAGAAAGGTTATTGGGTGCATTCAGGTTATAATGTATGAATTCATTTGATTGGAGTGGTCGATACACGTTAATATCCTTAGGGGCAGGTGCATAAAAGAAGCACGTTCAATGTGGTACTAATTGGAGCACATATTTAATTAATTTAACTTAAATAATTTTATGTTACTACTTTGATGGACATTGAGTTGGAATATATAATAACGATTAACAAGAAATGTGTCAGATACAGTACGATTAACAAGAAATGTATGTTTTTATGATTGTGAGCTACAATAATTAATAAGAAAATTGTTATTACTATTTAAGCGCAACTAATTTTACAAAAAATTTTTGTTGTTGTAGTTCACTACTACTCGAATAAACCTCTTTATAAAACATTTTTAAAGAAAAATTATTAGATGGAAAAATTTAGCAGATCTCTACGATACAATATAATGATATATAATTAAAAAATACAAACGTTAAATAAAATCTGATAAAAAATAAATTAAAATAAAATTGAAATGGATTAAATAAGTGCGTTTACCTCAAATTCGATATCTTATTGTCAAATAATAACTTTAAAAGTCAAAACCGTAAGAAAACTTATTTTAAAATTACTCATGAGATCACTGTATATTTCTCTCTATATACTTCCTGAAGGAGTCACCAATAGGCATTGGCAAAGCATATCGAATTTTGTGGAATAATAATGTACCATTGGACATCACCCAAAGACGACTCAATTCTGTAATAGTCAACTAAACACGTTTTGAAAATTTACAGAAAATGGCCGAAAAAGTATAAACGTGAACATCTCTTACCGAATAAAGAAAAACGAACATTACAAAATAGGTTTTTGTAAAGTAAGCTTAATTTAAGCTTAATTTATATATATATATATATATATGTACATGTGTGCAATCTATATGATTAGATACATAGTGGTACCAATAACGTCCATATGATACCACCTGTGTTCTTATTGAATTCAAGAAAATCGGGTTGACAGAGAGAGCATGAATATCATTAATGCTAAGGATTTCATAATCCAACAATCTTAATCTAGCTTTTGTAAGTGCTAGGCAAAAATTGTAGAAATAATCTATATTGTCCACATCCTCAAGATGTAATCGACCTCTCGGATCTATGAGAATATTCATATTAGTCATGGGATATCTATGATGTTAGATTTCATAATCCAACAATCTTAACCTAGTTTTTGCAAGTGCTAGGTAAAAATTGTCGAAATATTCTCTACTATCCACATCTTTAAGACATGATCGATATCTCGAATCTATCAGAATATTCATATCAGTCATGTGATATTCACCTGTGATGTTGGATTTCATAATCCAGCAATCTTAATGTAGTTTTTGCAAGTGCTAGACAAAAATTGTCGAAATATTTTATATTATCTATATCTTCAAGACATGATCGACATCTCGGATCCATGGAAATTTTCATATAAGTCATCTGATATCTTCCTGTGTTGACATTAATTAACACTTTAAGACGCTTTTTCTGTTTTTGAGAGATCCAAATTAAGATCCAAATAAAGAAATTCAGCAGAACTAACTTCAGAAAGTAGTTCTCGCAAAGCTTAGTAATGAATATTAACATACAAACCGATTTATTGGTTAAACCATTGGATGCAAATATAATATGCTTAGAATTTGATGTAAATGGTCAATTATAAACTTATATAACAAGTAATTGAATAGCATCTTGGACTGGTATCTTAAGTCAGAGTTATCTGATTGACACAATTTTTAATTAAGAATTATTGAATTATTTTAAATTGGTTTTAAGATCTGATGGTTAAGTTATACTATCTCATTCGGTTCAACCAAAAATTTCATATTATATCAAATTCAATTATTTATATCTTCTTATGAAAATGGATTTATACTTACTTCTAACTATTTCTACATACATATATTTTTTGTTAGAATAATTTATAGAAGTATTGTCACAACAAATGGGTAAAAATATAATAACAATATCTAGCAATAATTTTTCTTTTATACAAAATTCAAACTTAGCACCAAGCGTTATTTGCACAAATAGTTTTTAGTCATAATTATACTGATTAAATATTAGGAAACTGAATATATTTGCGATATGTTATGTAGAATGTGTACATACCTCAAGGCTGTTGCCAAGCTAACATTCACAATTGAGCGATTTACACCATTTGGACGTAATAGTTCACCAATTATGCCATTTTGTGGTTCATATTCATACATATAGCCCGGTTTGTCCAATAACTTACCTAGCATATTAAATTCGTTACCTCTATCAGCGCTGCCATCGTACAAGGCACGACATAGGAAAATTTCTGTATTGCCGCCAACGGCTAATGTCAACACACCGTACAGCGTAATGCAAATACTACCGACACATATAATAAACACGGCGATAAATAGCACAAATCCAGCCTTCACATTGGACTCACAAAGGAAGCAACAATATGCCATTACTGCAAATAGCAGCACCCAAATGATAACCAAGCCCGTTATCCAACCAGTTGTCCAATAATAATTTGACCATTCCTGCAGCTCGTTATATTTGGGTTGTACACTTTCCCATGTCCCCTGCAACCGATCCAGGAGCACATTAATGGTCGATGTTAGCATTTGGGCGTTCGCCGTAGTGCGGTGCCTTATATTCTCCAATTGCTCCAAGGTATCTGTTTAAAGTGTGCATTGCAACGTGATTATTAATGCTTAATATTTCAGTTTATTTAGTAAAATACGTGTAAATATGTGCTAATGATTAAATTGGTCTATGTGAGCAACAGTGCCTGTGCGCGGCGTGATTTCAAACTACCATTGCCCAGCCATTAGTGTGTACTCAGTATCCTGTGTATCCTACTTATGCTGTATAATTTATACTGAGCTTGGCTTAGTAATTTAATTTGCTTTAAACTTTTATAAGTTCATTAAATATTTTGTATTTCTGTCGTCTAGCCTAATTGATTTAGGCGTGTTGAACATTCTAACAAATTTCCCCAGCACAGGCAAAATTTAATCCTTGCTGCAGGATATGCATGTATATGCGCACATCAAATGCCAATACTGATTTACAGACTTATTTGTTAATTTGTGTGTTTTTATGAATTGTTAATTAATATTTTGGTTGATATTACTGTACTTCATTGTATTTAATTTGATATGTTAGGAAAGCTCAGACTGTGCAGTAAAATATATTTAATGTGTACTTGAGTGTTATGAATTTATGTAAATATATTTAATTGAACATTTCATTTTGAAAACATTAAATAAAGTGAACACTCAAGCCGAATAAGATTATTTTCAATTAATTTTGTTTCAATTAGACAGAATTAATAATATGCAATGAAAATATTTCGAAGATGGATTATATGTATATTACTGTATTCTTCATAACTCGGTTTTAAATAACACGACAAAGCAAAATGCAAGTTTTCCTTTTAAAGCTTTGGAAAAGAAAAGGAATTTGTTGTATTCATTGTAGTAAACTAAGGAATTATGTGACTAAATTTTTAAAAATTTTATAAGAAGAAGATATTTGAATCTGTCCTTTGTTAGCGTTAGTGTTTGGCACTCATAACCTAAGGATTTGGAATCTATCTGCTATAAGATAGTTGAGTATTAAAGTTACCAGCTTAATATTAAAGCACAAGAAGTAATATATAAAGGCATATCGATGCTTTAAACGAAATAAAAACATTCATAGTACTATATTGAAATCTACACATCACAAGTGAGACATATGCACTTGCGAGCATGTATATCCTTCGATACAGGAAGTTTCTAAACTCACTCCAAGTAAATTTGTTAATGAATTTTCACTGTAAATTAACAAAAAACTTCAAGTTCGAACATATACGAACATATAAGTCATGTATAGCTTTGTGTCAGTTGGCTAATGAACACTGACTCTGAGCTTCAAATTTGGCAGGGCACGAATTAAGGGTTGAACGTGGTACTTGCAGTCTCAACAAAAATTATTTACGAAAAATTAAATATAAGAAATAATTTCAAGACCACTGATGATGAGTATTTCATAAAACTCGAAAGTATGAAGTATCTTTAATTATGCATTTTATGTATATAATCTATATAATTTGTGTTCGCAAACGGATTGACTCCATTTATTTTTGACAAATCTAAGCAGGTTATTTTAGGTTGGATTGACTTTCTTATGCCCAAAGCTCAAATAATGGTCCGCTGTAATAATACAATAATGTATATAATACGAGAATTATTTACTAAATGAATAGTTAAATATTTTAATAGTGGAAATATTTACTTTTAAATTGTAAGAATTGAATTTAATATAATTGAATATTATTTCCATTCAGTGACATAATTACCGAGATGGAGAATTGTGGTGCGCAATTGTGAAACATATTAAGAGATAACTTATTAGTTAATAATATTTAACAGTTACTTAATATATAATATAGTGGCATCTTATATAACACCAGATATCTAAAGTACTAAGTGAAAATCCACAATATAAATATTTAAATAACAGACGTATTTTCTAAAACTATCGTTGAGGGGTGACATCAAAACTTTAAATTATAAAGAATATTTGGAACTATGTTAAATGGTATATCGGATATGCTATATACCGAGCAGATATCTGTGATTTTTGCTATGTTTTTTGAGTTTTTATATACCGAATCGAAAAATCATTGAAAGTAATATGATTCGATCTTCAAATATGACTATCTTTCTTGGCATTCAAATAGCAGTGAAGAAAATTGAATATAGAAAAGTCAAATTAAGATTCGAAATGAAATGTCCCGCCTCAATAATGAGTATTGAGCATCTCAAGTTAATACTTTGTAAGGTTCCTCGGCATAAATATATCGAAAAAAACGAATTAGCTGATGAAATGGTCAAAATAGGGCTTTGAATGGATATAAATGTACTTATAACCCACGTAGCAGTTTAATGCTTCGATAAACACCACTATTAGAATTATAAGGAACTCCACCGGTAACAATCGATTAACAATCGGTTATCGGTCACAACAATCGGTTAAAAAACACGTCTTCAGATCGAATAAAAGTAAATGAATACTAACATTCTATCAGTAGAACTTTGGGTTTTAATCAGAGTCAGCACGATAGTCTAATTAAAAGAGTCAACTTCTAGTGGTTAGGACAGCTGAAGCTTTGCGCTCTAACCACCGTGGTGTCAGATTTACATCTCCGGGCAGGTACGGCAAGTGAAACTCACTGCATTTTAGTCGTTTCTTATGAGAGACTGGATTTAAGTCGTTTCTTATGACTGGCATGCGCTATCCCGGGATTATACTAACCCCCTTTCCTGCTAGAAATGTCAGAAACGAAGCTAACAAAACATTTAATGTAATACTGCGTACAAACTATTGTCGCTAGATAATTTATTTTATATAATGGAAAGTGAGAGTTAGTCAGAGTTGCCAGTTTTTCAAACAATCACCTGTAGCTTAATTATATGTTAAGCGTTAAGAACAAAGAAAACAAGATATTTGTCTTAATACTTTTAATCGTTTTTTTTTTTTATCATTTTTATAATCTTAAATCATCTTAAGAAGAAATATGTGGTTCCACCGGTGGGGTGGGGTTGAGTTACTTTATTTAAAGGTATCTTTAAATAATTTGTTTTTGTTCTTATAAATTTTATAATCTTAAATTATTTTAAGTAGAAGATATATGTATATGATGGAGAGAGAAAGAGAGAGAGAAGTGTTAAAGGGTCCCTCTGCGGAACACACTAACTCTAGCTACGCTACTGTTTATATTTAAATAATCAATTCTTTAGCTGTTTCCAGAGTATTTAATGAGCATTGCTAAATTTCCAGTTAAATGAATAATAAATAAATAAAATTAATTGACATGAAACTACATTGTTTAAACTTACAATTTCGTTCATATGCCGTGTCATGTTTAACTTGTTGCGGATAATTGCTAAATATTGAACGTGACACACCCACCTCCGATGACAGATTCTTGACAGTTGCACCAAATTCAATTTCACCCAAATATCGCATACGGAATATCGTCTGGTCCTCTTGCAACTGAAAAATTAAACGTTAAAAGGTGTATGAATGACATAAAAAATATGTTCCGAAAATTGATAACATAAAAGTTTGCCATAAAGTATCTACACAAACATTATATCCGTATTAATTTTTGTATAAATTTTATTATTATTTCTATTTTCATTTTTATTATATTTTTTATTGCATTTTATGTTGTTATTGCAATTTGATAGATTGTTTGTGTTTGTAAGTTTGTTTGTGTTCGAGAAGTTACCGCTTTGAGTGCTTCAATAATGCCATTTTCTTCGAAACTTCTTATCCTTAGTGTATCGCAAAGTGGTCGATCACGATATGTACACTGACGTTGCAACACGGACAATTGGATTTGTAGTTCCTCCATACGTGCAGCAGCCTCTTGTGATATTTTCAAGGCGCGTCCGACAGTCTCTTGCAGCATAAGGACACGATATATCAACTCAGCATTTGCTGTAGAGTGAACGAAAAAGAAAAGGAAAAAAATTATAGAAAACATGCTACAAATATCCTTGCCTTTCTGCTTTAAATTATGATAAAAGTAGATAAAAGATTTGCCACACTGCAAATCTATGATGCTATAAATGTGTTGTATGTAAGTTCGACTACTGAGTTGGTGTATGTCAGAGTAGTATGGATAGTTTGGGTAGTTCGGGCATGTGTGACATAAATGGGTTTTACACAAATGTAGGTCAAGTTTCTTTGAAACAACTTTTGATGACATTTTCAAAATAAAATATTGCAATTCCGTAAGATAAAAATAAATTAAATTGCTTAGCAGATACTAAGTTTTATTATAGTGAACAATATTTAATCAACTGAGCTATAGTATTTCCTCGGATACAACGTCAAATAACATCTTGATGCAGTGCAAATTAGTTTTGTAAACAAATGGCAGATAAATTTTCAATGAATTCATCATTAGTCATAACAAATTTTTTATCTCACAGCAGTCAGTTCCGTTCACCATTAAAACGGAATTTACGGCTGACATATTTTCTTCATAAAAATTGTTAGTAGTTGCTTTTCTATACAATCAATAAATGACAAAAAAATTATTTAAAAATATTGAAATGATGGAAATGGAAAGCGTAGATAAAAATTATGATTCGATAAATATCAGATATTATTCTCTCCATGTTTTAAGTATAAAAAAAATATTAATAAATAATTATGAGAACTAATTAAAAGTTTTAATGAGTTCTATGAAATACTGTAGTAACATAAATATAAAAAAAAATTTAATCAATAATTAATTACTTCAATTACCTGAAAATTTTTTGAAATAGAAAATTAATTGGTAAAGAAAAGAGCTTCGAGAAGTGTTTTGTAATATAAAAATCCTAACATTTACAATAATTAATTATTTCATTTAATAGTTTATTAGTGAGTTATATTATCATAAAATATAAGTAAGTGAATGAAACAATTTCGGGTACTGCTTTATGTGTTAATGACATTAAGTCTGAAAGTGAAAACTCAAAGTGACTCATTACAAACTGAACTTTTACATGTTTATATATAAAATTGAAATACAATTTAAAATAAACACTAAACATTAAGTAAATTCAAATTCAATATATTTCAATTAAAACTGAGTATCCTCACTCCACTCACACTTGCAGTCAGTGCTCAATACAACTCATACGAAGAAATAAAGAACAGCTAAAAGACTGTTCATGGCACTAAAAAATCAATAATAAAAATATTAAAAACTGCATAAATGTTATACAATTAATTCTAATTGTTGTAATTTGAATTAAAATTGTTGTTAACAAATTCCTTAATAAATATATTAAGTGTTTGGGACCACATACAACTAGAGGTCTACAATAAAAACAATAACTTTTTGATTTAATTTAATAATAGTACAATTTTATAGGACTTAGGAACCATTTTGTTGAAGGATTATCGAAAAATCAAAATATTATGTTATATAGTAAATGATCTGTGATAAGAATGCCGAATATGAGAGTACCGGTTAAGATTTATGAGAACGAAATACGAACCAGCAGAAGAAGAGGGCGACCAAGAAAATAATGGAAAGACAGTGTGCAGCAGGATTTAGAAGACATGAACATAAGAATTGGAAAACAAAAGTGCAAAAAAGAGAAGAATGGAAGACTGTTGTTAAACAGGTTTACGTTCTACATGGACTGTATAGTCACGGATGATGATGATGATAAATGATCAGAACATTAGTTAAATAAAATATATCACATCTTTTATTATGAAATTTTTATAACGGTTTATTCTGATTATTATAGTATGAAAAACTCTTAGATAACTTTTTTTAAACATAAATATTTATTATCTTACCTAAACTGATTGTAGCTAAAGAATCGTATGCCAGTTCGATACCAGTATTTGCAGATATTTCCGCCTGAATTGGTTCTCCAAGTAGTACATCAACGTCTGCATAAAAAATTAATAACAATAAACATATTAAATATTTTTAAATATTATTGGTATTTCAGAAATAAATTTAGCTTCAAAAATAATCTATTACGTAATTGTTAGAAAAGTACAAAACTCTCCGGACAGTAAACGCTATAAGTTTCTGAAGTGGTTCGGTTGAGAGATTTGATTCTCTGCAGCATTGATTCGGTACAAAAAAATGATTTATATAATTCTGATCTTCAGTTCAGTATTTTAGATCAGAGAAGTCAATGATTCGATCGGGAATCAGTCAAAATTTAATCACTCACCCTCTAAGTCCTTAACAACTTTCTCAACAGAAACATGAAAACCATTATCTAATTTATGTTTGATTTGTAAATGTGTGTCTTTTAGAAATACTTCCATATCATGTACGGTAGATTTAACCATTTCTGGTGCCATTTCAACGGTAGAAGCCAAACGGCTGTTAGCATAAAATATGCAAACATCGCTTAAGCTATAAAAAATAATAATAAATTAAATAAAATAAAAAAAAAACTAAATTTTAAGAATAAACATACACTAAAAATATAAACGTTATCCATAGTGTTGCTACCGATGCACGCTTTCGGCAGATTAAAGTATCTTCTAGAGATTCGTCCATCATTGTAACTGGACCATCTCGGGCTAATTCTTCTTCATCTAAACGACGACCACAACAACACCAAGCGCATGTGGCTATTAATGGTACAAATGCAAAAATCGCAAATATTGTCATAATCGCTATAAAACCAGATTCGACTTTGATGGCCTTACATAGATAATATATAAAACAGAATTTAATATTTTATATAATAAAAAATTATTTTATGTGGATTTTATTTAATTTTATTTGGAATTTTTTTATTTAATAAGATTTCTTAGATTAAATTAATATTTTACTTACATTTGATGCGAAATCCACTATTGTAAGATTTTTATGTAGCGCTTCTCTCACCAGATCTGCAAATATAATTATTAATTAAAATTATAATAAATTTAATATCATCATTGAAAAATTCTTGTTAAACAATAGTAATTATTTGTAGTAAAAAAATTCAACTTTTTTGTTGGAAATAATTTTTGAATATTTTTACTTTATTACCATAAAATGTATATAGAAGTATACAGAGATATATACAACGTTCAGCGACGTATCCGTAAATATATTTAAGAAATGATGTAGATTAAGCACTTACTATGGAAAAATTCTTGGTTGTTTACTTCTTAACCTTATGAAAGTGTTCAAATGCGACATTAGATCCATTGCAGGTGAGTTTGGTTAATTAAGCAGTTGATTGACTAATTTCTTAAAGATTATGGAAGATTGTTATAGATTTGTATCTACCACAGTCCCTCATTGACTTAGTCCTAATTCCAGATTGTTTATGGAACAATATTATAAATAACGAACTTTTCCTCTAATAAAAATTCAATATGTCGTTCAAGAAACCATAAAAAGTTTCGTGATATGAGTCACAAGATATGGAAGATAAGCGGGTTCTAAGACTCAATTTCCTATTTATGTGGTTGGCCAAATAATAAAGTTTGTTTCTACTCCCTGAGTTATCATTTAAATTTTAATATTGTTTAACATTTTTTCTTTCATATTGAATAAACTGCATTCAAGTCGAATTTATCAAAATGAGTTAATAGAAAAGATATTTTGTCCACAAAATTGTTAAATACTCTCTATCCTATTGGGAAATTATAGATGATAAATCTTAGAAGCACCTTTTGTACAGGTTCTGTCATATAAGACAGCCTTCTTCTAAGGCTTCTAAGAAGACCGATAAACCATCGTTTTAATAAAAATAGACAATGTCTCTTATAACTATACTAGTGATATCCATGTGCCACATGAATAAGGAGACTCTAGACTAGATAGAAGCCATATGCAATATGTGAAGAACAAAGGATTATTCTTCAGAAATTATTTGTTTATATCATTTAAAGTTATAAAAAAATATTTAAAAATATTGCGGAGTTTGTTATTGTAAGGTGAAACCTGTACTTAAATTTCCAACTTTCAATGGTGTTGCGGCAAGTCTTAAAATTAATTTTTTTTTTAAATTTTTTCCATACATTTTTCCTTTTTACCAATGTATTAGAAAATAATAAAACTAATTTGAACAGAAACTAAAATTTTTTCAGTTACTCTAATATGTATGTATATATGGATTTCATATATGTCAGACTTAGCAATTTCAGAGAAGAGTATATAAATACAATAATTCACTTTTCTATTAGACTTAAATTTTCTTTATTACCACGGTATTATTACTTATATAGCTACTCTAATATAGCTACCCTAATATGTAAATATATGAATTTCATATGTTTAAATACTGATTATAATGTCAGGCTTAGTGATTTCAGAGAAGACTACAAGAAGACTACATACAATAATTTACTCTTCTATTAGACTTAAATTTTCTTTATTACCACGTCATGTCGTATTTAATTAATATGTTAAAATCTATCAGCTTATAAAATGCACAGTTTTAATGTTTTCAATATGTATACATTTTCGTATAATTTCATATATCTTTCATTCAGGACCTTACTGCTTTTGTCGTTAATAAATTGACTTCTGTAATTTTGTAAGTTTAAGTTTGTACCAAAAAAAAAATAAAAAAAAAAGATATATAAGTAAATGTTCTCTTCCAATTAAGTTTGCTTATTTTTTTTTTATACACATATCCGGCTGGATTTACTCTTATTCCAGAAAATGGAAAAAAATTCCCGCGCAATTACGCTATTAAAGTGTCAAATTGGAAATGTGAAGGATAAAATTTTAAAATGGTTTTAAGCCACTCTTAACTATAAAGTGCGCTACAATTGCAGGCCACATGCTTAGCTTTACAGCAATTTCGAATGGCATATGCTTCATGTACAACTCACACAAGCTCAAAGGAGTTTGTTTAATAGCTGAAATAAATTACAATGACACACAAATATACATACACACACGCAAACACAAATATTAAGAGGCTTCACCTGAGCAGAGACTGGATTTCCACTTACTGTTAACTTTTTTTTTTCGACATTTTGCTGGAAACCCTTGTGTGCATTCAAATATGTGTGTGTAGTTTATTAACTACTACATGAGCACTCACACGAAACCGAGTGCATATGCACTTGTACTGCAGGTAACAAACTTACCGAGTGGTAATTCTTCTGGTGTTATAAATGATAAAAATTCACTAACATAGGTGAATACAAGTGGTCCTGGCGTTATGTCCATGCCTGGTATGCTGTATGTAAAATATGTTGAAGTTGTTCCTGTTGTTGGCAGTGTCATGTTATTGTTATTGTTGTAGTTGTGTGTCATTTTGTTATTGCTTGCTTATTGTTGTTTTTCTGCACTGTAAGTAATGGTTGTTGTTGTTGTGGTTGTTGCTGTTGCTATTTTAGTAGCCTGTGTGTCTGGTACGCTGATTATTTCGGTTGTTTGGTCAATGTTTTGCCTGTCATGTGAAATATGTTAAGTAAATTGGAAAATTGTTTAGTTTGTGGATAAATAAAATTATTTAATTTTTATAAATATTTCTAACATAAATGTATTGTTAACATTTTTAAAATATTTTAATATTAGTTTATTTTTAAATACAAAAAATACTTAAATATATTAGAAATAGAATGAAATGTATAAATTTTGAATAATATGCATTTTTGCACAATATTAAATTTCATATTTTTATTTAAAAGTATTTTTATTCAAATATTTCTCAAAAATTAAATGTATAGTAAGCCAAAAATTCCATAAATAAAAATAATATAAAAAAGAAGTTTTGTTGTTGTAGTTCACTACTTTTCGAAAACCTCTGTGTAAATATTAAAAATATTAATACATATTAATACATATTGATTATTAAAATTATTCATAATTTATTCTAAATTTTATACCACATATATTTAAAATTTATTTTTAACTACATTTAAGTCAAGAGAATCTTTAGCATTTGTATTGGAATTGTCATAATAATCCATAAATCAGACTTAAACTCTGCCTTGCCTCATTGGGGTTTCTGTGGTCACACAAGTTTTGAAACTCTTAAAAGCTTTGTTTAAGAAAAATTTCTGCCCTCTCTGCAGAGACAATCACTGAATATAATTCCTTAATGCTTTAAGGATTAAATTACTTTAAAATTATATAAATAAATAAACTTTTTTTTTGTTTATGCACTGAAGATGGTCTACGAAGTAGACCGAAATATCTGTATATTAAAATAATTTTTTTTTGTTTTAATAAAAATTAAATATAACTAAATATTTAACACTGTTTAAAAAAGTGTGATTCTTTATTTTATTTAAAAAAACATTTTCATAAACTTATGTGTTGAATAAACTAACTAAGCCGGGTATAAAAAAATATAAAAACTTAATAAATAAATAAACCATATACGATTCCGACTTATTTGCTCCTCTATTAGAAATTCGGTAGTATATGGAAAAACAAAAACAGTTAAATCAGTTGCGCTCAGCATTTATATCTTTTTTGTACTCCAGCGGGTATGTTATACATACAGTTAGATCACAATTGTCAATTAGCTATTTCTGCACTTTTTTTGGGTGTTAAATTTAAAAGGTATTTAATTTAATGTACGTAAGTTTTAATTCCAGAAGTACAGAAAATATGTATGCTCAAGAAATAGAATAAATTAATATCATTTCAATATTTCAACTTAAATATTAAATACTTATTTCTAAAAAAATTTAACAAACATTTTTTAAAACTTATTCTTAAATAGTAATGCAGTTTCACCAGCAAAGTTGCTAACTTGGCGGTACCAATATATTATTTCAAAAATCTGTTGTCATTTCGCCATTTACCAAAAACTTAGCGGTAGGGCATTATTTTCATCATTGTCTTAGGAAAAGGTATTAAATGAAGTTAACTTTAAGTGAAAGTTCCAACTTTGTTGTACCTATTTCTATACGACAAAGTCAACTTTGGTAACTCGTTTTGAGTTCAAAGTCAACTTCCACCAACAAAGTACATAATTTAAACCCAGTATAACCCCGTATTGCCCCATTTAAGCTGGCATTAACTTATTTCAATAAATCAAAAGGTAATCAAAAAGTAGTAGAAATGGTTTTAATTGATCATTTCGATTTAATAAAGCATAGTATAATAGAAACATACCTATACTATATTTTGTTTTTTTAATATTTAATCCATTTTCAAATAAATCAATGAGGTGTGTCTTAAACGAATTATGGCTAAGATAAATCAATTAAGTGTACTTAATTATTGTATGCTTTCAATACAAAATTCAAATGTATAATTGCTCTTTCGCAGTAAACTGAGGAAAGATGATTCAATTATATTTAAATATGTCAAATAAAATTATTACCAATAAATACGTCAATATTTATTTTTTGTTCGATGTAAAAATTATTGCTTATAATTAACTTCGCTCAACTTCTAAGTTCTAATGGAATAATTTATGGTGGTTATTTGATTAATTGAATCAGTAGTCAATTAACTCTGATTTTCTTTTATTGTTTATGAAATTCTTATACTAATCATGTAAGCAAAAGAATATTATAAATAACAATAATAAACTTAATGGAAATTTGACTATCAGTTATTATTATAAATAAATTATTATTTGTTACGAATATGAGATTATCGGATTTGATATCTATTTGATTAGATGGTAATCATTATATTTCATTATAAAATTTCTTAAAAATGTATATCGGTCATTTCAATATAAACAATTTCAATTGTATGAAGATTTTTAAAATACTCTATCAATTATCAATTATTTAAAGAGTTTGTGAAATTAGTATTAAAAATTAGTCTAAGATGGGCATTATGGAAAACCAATGATTCTGTATCTCTTAAAAAAACAAACTAGAAAATTATTTCCCAAAACGTGGATATTTTTATAAAAAGGATAACATTAAAAAAATTTCGTCGTAATTAAAGATGATTTTGGTCATAATTTGTTTCGCTTGAAAACGAATGACCTATATATGGACGTCTATTGCTGTAAAAAATGCTTTTGATTTGGAAGTGTTTTTGAGATAATTAAACCGATTTATTTTTGATAAAAGTTAAAAATAATTAATCAAATAACCCATCATAATATTATAATTATTTAATTGTAGTAATTTCTAATAGTTTATTCAAAACATTATTTAAAATTTATTATTAATCAGAATAATGGCTCAGTAAATTCTGCTTCGAATGCTCCTCATAATATAACTTTACAAATGTGAGGTCCGCAGACAAAGTATTATCTCACATCAGAGTTTCTTTACTAGAAACTGGCAGACGTTTTTGGGTTAACCAGAGTGAGTAGGATGGGGAATGGGCAGGATGGACTGCCAAATAAACCGAAAAGGGTTAAAATTGTAATCGGATTTTCTTTTCAATAAATTAGACTATTTTATGCATTAAATAATATTTTAATATAACTAACATAATTGTAACTTACATTTTATTTTCATTACTTAATGAAACTATATTATATGGAAATATTGCCTGTAGTCTTTATTGCTAATGAAAAATTAAATAATTGTATATATAAAATAATGCTATATCCATTGCATTATTAGATTTCATTATTAATTGAATATAAATATAGTATTTAATATTTTTTAAAAATATTTAATCTCAAATAATTGGTTTAATTATATGATTAAACTATATTATAACGAAATAGAAGCCTCTAGCTACTATTTTTGTTAAATTAATTTAATAAACTCATGTATTTAATAGTAAGGTTTCCAACAGTAATGAATTGCAACAACAAACATTTTTATTTATTTTTCTTTGATTGAATTTTTGGGTGAGGATACAGCTATTTTAAGTATTGCCAAAGTAAACTCAAGTATTTAATTAATTAAAAATAATTAAAAATTTTTGTTGTTGCAATGCACTACTGTTTGATATCACTCTATTAAATACAAAAGTTTCCATTGAGTTAAATAGTAACTACTGTCACAACTGACAGTTTAATTCAAATTTAATAATCTTATGTATGGTATAACATAATGTTATACGTATTGTATTTTTGGATTTAGTTATTAATTTGATACAAATGTTGTAGTTATTATTTATTGAAAATACCTAATTTCACATTATTAGTTTCATTACTTAATTAAATTATGTTATATGGAAATATAGCCTCCAGGTTTTATTACTGTTAAATAAATTAAATAATTTTATGTATAAAATGTTGTTATATCTAGTGTATTATTGGATTTATTTTAATACCACTGTTGTATTTAATATTTATTAAAAACATCAAATTTCAAATAAATACAATTATATCTACTTCATTCAATTAACTTAACAATAACTTTATAATATTTTCCTTTCAAAAAAGACATGTATCAAAATAAATTTAAAATTTGAAACTTTTGTTATATATATATATAGGTATATATATATATACACTTACCTCAAAAATTTTGTCTAAATTGCAATTTTATTAATTTCCAATTTTTGGGTAAATTTAATTTGTCATTTCAATTTACCACACAATTTAATTCAATATGCCAGAGTAATTCAGTTGATGTAATTAAATTTATTGTTTTTCAAAAATCCGTAAAAAACACAATCAAAAACATGGAAATTTCGTAATTTGTTAGATCCAAGAGAAGATAAATTTTTGTACTCCTCTATCCGGTATTTGTTGTTGTTTCCGTTGTTGTTGTTGTTGTTTATTGTGAAAATTTGTCAATGAATAACACAATTTGTGGCTTGATTTATTTAAATATATATTCAACAAAAAAAAAATTGTAAAAATAATAAATTAAATATTCTAACACTTAGCACTGAGTAATGCACTGATACGTTATATAAACACTTGGGCACGTTTATTAAATGAAATTCGCCATTTTTATAATTGAAATCGGGTTTGCGGAATCGCCGCCATTATCGTTTCAAAATTAAATTAATTCAGTAAAATCGCGCAGATACAGCGCCACGTAACGGCGTTGGCAGTGGTTGGCTTATTTCTGTTTTCGAGTGACGAAAATTGTTTCTTTTTAAATTTATTACATTAAATCGCTGGCTTTTTTGTTCTTTTCACGGCTTTTATCCTTGATTTTTGGCTTGGGTGTACGCATCGTTAATGCCATTAAAAGTTCGATTTTTTTTCGCTTCACTGTTCTGGCAAAATTTTGTCAACTTGGCAGAAAAATGTTTTACATGAATTTGCACAAAAAAATAAAAAAAAAATAAAAATAAAAAAAAATAATATATAAAAAAAAAAATTCGAAGGTGATGACTTTAACTTTTACTTTCAGTTTTGGTTTCACTTTCGTAAATTTACTTGTGTAAAATGTAAAATGTTTTCC